ACACACACACACTCACACGCACGCACACGCAGGTATACCAACGTGCACAGCACAGCTATACACTTATAATAATCTCGTGTTATTATCTCACACATACTCTCTTCTACATACATCTATACACAAAGAGACATAATAAATCTTGTTCTTACCCTCATAAACAGTTTTTTAAATTAACAAATATTTGAAATTAAAACAAGACGTTGTGATGACTCTCCGAACACTCAATTAACTCACAACACAGCAGCTGACATGCCCATGACCTCGCACGGACCTGCGAAGTGCTCCTATGAAAACACCGCCTGACCCGACGGTCCTACACGGCCAGTCGAGTAGAAAACGTTAGTAGGAAAGAGAAGAGCTACGATTGACCAGTGTCCCCGTTTAACCATCTGTTATTTTGAGAGAAAATACACGAGGTTGCACTCGGCACAAAGCATTGGTTTTAATATAAAGTTTGATGGAAACCACAGGACGTGCTCACCTGCAAAAGCTACCCATGCGAGAATAAGAACATTTTTTCTGCACTGTAGTTGATGAAAATATACTGGTTTTTGCATGATAAAAAAGGGTTCTTTCAGAACTTAGACTTACTTTCTGTAGTTAAAGTCTCTGTTTGGCAACAACTTTACTCCTTTCTAAGTTCGTTAAGATATACCATTCCCTAAACTACCATCTCAGAGGATTATCATTTCTAAAAATAGAAGAAACCACCATCAGCTCAACTGAGATAACGATGTTTTGTTTCGAATCTAAAAAAGTAGAAAAGTGCCCCATTCCGAAGAACAGTGTTTGGAATTTTTAAAAATGGAGGATAACTACAGACCACTCAGAAAAGACGCAACGTTGTAGTTAACATTTCGTCGCCGGCATTCAACATTGCTCTCTATGTCAAAATTACGAAAAGCAAAATTAAATTAAGTAGGTTGTTGAGTTTGATGAGGCGCATCGATTGACCCTAGTCTCATTTCTCTTCTTAAAATAGTAAGAGACTTTGACAAGTTAAACATTTTGTACTACAATTATGTCTTGCCCGACAAAAAACCAGTATCAGTAATTTGCTTCTTCCGAAAAGGAGATAATGCGATAATGATGATGGCGGGAACGATTTGTCCAAAAGAATGACTATGTCCATTCGATATCTAGGTGGATATTTAAAGCAAACAACATCGGAGTACCCACCAACCTACAGGGACCTTCTCGTTTGAAGACGACCATTTTCAACCTGTAACTCTACACTTTTATCAAATTGTTACATTGTACTTTCAAAGAAATACGTTCTGTAAACCCAAACCTTTACCAAGGACTCCTCCCCTCCCTCAATCTTCAGCCTTTTTTCTCCT